ATAATACTTGTATTTTACATTGATTTAATAATGCAGTTATTATTATGTAAAACCCTTTTAAAATTAAAAAAAAGATAGTTCTGTTTGTCCCTGGCCGTCCCTTCTCACCCCGTCCATGGAGCAACAAGGAACAGGAGGAATAAATTTTACAAAAATAGTGAATAAAAACATATTTCTATAATTAGGACTTAACTAAAATTTACTGAACATAAAGTTGTCATGTTGTCATTTAGTTCAGACCATCTCTACCCTAATATAGTTAGGAATAATATTGTTGTCTAATACTTTTTGAAAATTGGCATTTCATGAACTTAATTTAAATCTAAAGACTATTAGTTGCAATAAAAATGCCAAATAAATATTACAAAATTTATTAATTAAATAATATAAATATTAAATAAATTATTAAGTATCTTCATATAAATAATAATAAATAATAATTCATTAATCCGAGAACAAACTTAGCATTGTCCTGGCGTACATTTTACGACTAGATGTGTACTGGCCTATTGTCAAACTAGGATTTATTTTATTGCACTAATGTTGTTCATGACTTTTAAAGATATCAATGTATTTATAATAATACATAATGAGTCAAACAAACTCAGGATTATAACCAAAATTGTATATTATATTATTATCATTGCCATATATATTACATCCTTCTCTAAAGTACCACATGTTGGATTATTTGACTCGAAAAGTAACATTAATATTAATTTTATTTCATCGGAATGTCTTGTTTTCTATGAAGTCCATCACTTGATAGCGAAATAAATGAACGTTCGGCGGCAAAACGTTTTTTACCGCCGAGCGTTTAATTTACCGCTTTTTCTATAATTAACTAATATATATAATATATGTAGTCGAAACGACCAAGCAATAATTTAATAATAAATTAAATAAACCTTTGACTAAATTTTATTTGAAACGTTTGACTAGTTTTGTTTTAACGACGTGTCACTTAATATCTATCAATAGGTGTTTTTAGTATACATAGATGTTAATATGTTTGTCATTGTCATCAAATAAATAGAAATTGTTTCTTTGCTCAAAAAACATCTTAAATATAATACTACATGTCAATGTTATGTCTCTCTTTGCCAACACACAATATAGATTTATACATTTGTACAATTTAACTAATAGTAATAAACTAAATGCAATTCATTATCATATGAAATTTAATACTATACAGATATTTCTAAGCTCTTGCGATACATTTTCTAATTCAAAATGCCATGTGTGCCTTTTGAACTCTTTAGTATGTATTTACACAATTTTTGCAAATTAATTCGTAAGGAATGTTTGAATTAAATTCATCGATGGATTGTAATAAATTCTGATGTGCATATTTATAGAAAAATAAATTTTTGCATACACCTTAGATGTGATTTCAGCATCGATTAATGTTTAAAACTTTTTGCTTTCGAATACGGTTACAATTTTTTATTAAGTAATGAGTATAAAAATATTTTCCGTATTTTTGGTGGACTTTAAATTGATTCATTCTGCTAGCTATCAGACACTCTCGTTAGAAATGAAAAACTGAATGAATTTATTATTGTTAATGCTTTCTTTTGTGAAAAGTCGATATAATGCAATGCAAAATATAAAGCAAATGGTTAGAGTGTATGATTTTATAATTCACTACGAGCTATGAGAAATATTATATTCTATGCAATGATTTATTATTATGCAATGCATGGCTGATAACATCAGTTGCCTATTACTCATCGTAATGGAAATTTTATGTTTTTTTCATTTTTAAATTTTTTGTGCATTAGGGCACATTGCAATTCTTCTTCTATATATTATTTCATAAAAGTTTACCGTAAAAACTATTGCTCTATAGTCAATTTCAAGCCAGCGATTTTTTTTCTCTATGTGTTTAAAAACAACTTACCAGGAGTAACTTAGGTTAACTCGTTTGAGAATTTTATAAAACTTTTCATGATTATAAGATTGATAGTCAAAATGAACGCCTTAAAATATCATAAGCCTCTGAGAAGTTGGTTTAAAGTGTAAAAATTAACTAAAATTTAGAAAAATAGGTTGTATATGTATTTTCTCTTAGTGGTGTTAGGATGATCCTTCTTTTGGCATTATCAAATCCCGCCAGTATATGATATTTTTAAAGCACTTGTCAAAAGCCTATAATATATTGAGATCTTTTTGTCAATTTTTTATCAAATTTCCTGATTATGCTTTTCTTGGAAGTTGATATTTACATATATGAAATAGTTGCAAAAATTTCCGCTCGCTTGAATTACTATCTAGAGCTATGGCTTTTTTGGCAAAGTTTCTTAAAATGGCTTATAGAAGCAAAATTGCAATGTGCCCTAATGGTCAAAGAATTTGACCCACCCTAATATATAATATACCCTAAAACAGTAAAACCTCGTTACTACGATCATGCTTAATACAATTTTTTGCATAATAAGTCACTTTATGCAGGTTTCTGCATTTTAAAACATATCGTCTCTATCCCGCATAATACGTTTACTAGACTAAGACGTGTTTTTCTGTCTGGAAAATTGTCTTAACAGGGTTTTACTGTATATGCACCACTGTATAAAATTATATATAAGCTTATGTGTTTTATAAAAAACAACAATTTGTTTTGAGAAACATTTGCTTCATGGTATGTCTTAAAAACTTCATTATGTATATGCCAATGTTTGTTTAAAAAAAGGAAAATTTTTCAGACTTATTCTGATTTTTCATGAATGCAATTTTTAACTTAGAAGTTCTTGAAAAAAAATATTTGAGCGAACATATTGCCTCGGCATCTTATGAATTTGCAACTACATTAAGTAATACATAAACTCTTAAATTTTGAAAAAAAAGAAAATTTGGTGCAACTTTATTAACACATACACTCAAATATTTTCTGTCCAAAAATCACCTACATATATCATCTCGTATGCATGGCATAAGACAGTTTTTACTATAAAAATGAAATGCCTCAGATTGAAATATTAAATCAAAACCATGTTATTAAATTTCAATTTCCATTATAATGAGTGATAATTTTATCTTTAGCCAAATGCAAATGCATAATGATAATGTCTATCCTTATATTGTCATCAAAACTTTCTGTAATTATGTACAATTAATTAATTAATGGGCACTCGTACGCAGGTTTTGTGTAATATTTACATCCTAAGCAAGTGAAGCATATTTCATTGATATTATGATATAAGAAAATATAACTTTTCTGTAATCAATTTTTGATAATATAATTATATATAGTAACAGGAATGATTTAGTTGCATTATGAAGTTACTAAAATCGAAACCATCATAAGTAATAGGTCAAGCGTTTTTTACACAAATGACAAAAATAATTGTTTCTATGATATCTATTAATGATAAAGTGACTAGTTTGAATTCCTGCACTATTGTACATTGATTATATTTTGTCTTAATTTGAATTTGTTTATAATGACTAGATTTCAGCAGCACATTCTTATATTTTGCATATTTTTAACGCCAGCGTTTAGTAAAAAGGATTTAGTAGAAATTGCATCGGTTAAGTAAACATAAATATATCATAACTTATCAAATTATTATTAATTATATTTTATATAAATTAAATATATTCTATAATATTTTGTAGTACGGTTGAAAACCACAAAAATAAACTTTTTAGTTAAATAAATTATTTATGACTTAGAAATTGCATGAGATCAAAAGCTGGAATGTATTTGCCAATGAAATACCATCATGTAGTCGTTTTTTATACTTTTGGAAATTAAATCTAAATTTTATTTTTATTTTTATCAACGATTTATTATGCACGCAGGACACACAAAAAGTGAAAAAGTATAAAAAACGAATACAAATTGATGATGTTTCGCTGGACTTGTTTGTAAATAGCTTTCAACTGACTAGATTTAAATAATAAACATTTGACTGGATTAAACATTAACCTTTTAGTGAAGGTATTTAGTGTTGTTTTACTTAAAACAATTCAAATAAAACTATTTAAACGTATTTTTTATCTCGTCTGATGCGCCTGATGTTGGGCCAACACTTCGGCGCGTTTGTGCGTCCTTTATCAAACCCCTTACAATTTCAATTAATACAGAAAACTGTTCCAATTTTCATTCACATCATGTTCAATATAATACAATAATTCTTGAATTCGAATCATTCCATTTCACACACAACAAATTACTAATATACTCTCTTATGTTATGGTGCCATTTATAAATAAATTTAGAATTTTTGGTCAATTTTTCACAGATTATTTATATTTATAGATATTTATATATGTCGTTATGTACATTTGTTCAATTTAAATATATATTTATATTTGTTTTATCAAAAAAATAAAATAAACTAATTATAATAGCCTTATTATATGCAGGGGCTGTTTGCCGCATATTGAGAGACTTTGCAACACTGATTTTTTAAAAGTTTATTCTTTTACCTTGACTAGATTGTTTAAAGTATTTTTTTGACCTGTGTTACACATGACTAGATAGCGAGATTAGTTAGGGAAGTACGTTACTGTGATAGAACTAAAAAAAATCATCTCGATATGTTTTGAAAAACACGGTTTTTCACTGAATAATCAATAGGCACATTGTTCAATATCCAATCTTTCGAGATATAAGTATTCAACATTTGAAATCTATGAGATGTCCTCTTGGACTTTTTGTTATCTAATTTTGTTTTATCGTGATGATAATCAGTGTTTTCCAAACTTGTTCGTTCTCGAATAGCACAGGTCTCATTGTGATGAACTAATGTCCTGCAATCGAGGTGACGCTCGGCAGCATTTGACTAGAACCTGGTTTCGCCCCGGTGCAGGACAATAGCTAAAGTCTCCCCGACACGGATATACCAGCACAACGACTAGACTTTTTGAGTAGGTCATAACAGAACAACATATGATACAACGCGAAACCGATCGGTCGCGGCTAAAACATTCGCGTCGTCCGCCCGTCAGCACTAGAGCAGCATCAGGCGGCGATCGGGCCGCACATGCCGTCACAACAGATTGTCCGGATCCTGGTCGTCCAGATCGAGATCGTGATCTTGTTCGAGCGACAAGTCTTGATCGTCGTCGTCATCCAGGAGGTGATCGTTACCATCGCCATCGTGACCCATGTCTCCGGGCGACATCTCGCCCATCACCGACTTGGGGTCCTCGTCTTTCCATTTGTCCATTGACCTGCGACGTGCGTTCATGAAGAAATTGCCAACGGTCGTTGGCTCCAGGCCCAATTGGCGAGCTATCGTCACTTGCATCTCTTTAGAAGGACGCTTCGTTTCCTAAGAGATCAAAAAGACGATATAATACAAAACCTTACAGAGAAGCAGACATTTTACTTAATGGTAAACTAAACATACATTTGTACGTAAAAACATCAAGAGCTTATTCGCAAAGTGAACTGTTTTTATAGCCAAAAAACTGTTAACGTAGTACCATATTTATGCACAAATATATTGACTTACATACCCGTCAAAGAAAATAGATCATTATGTCGTCAATAGAGACGTCTAGTATTTGGTTTTGTAGTATAAAATACATTCTGAGTACCAAACATGTTTCTTGACGGCCCAGTATTTAGTCAATATTTATTAAGTAATATTATAGTATACTAATATCTTGAAATGAATATCATCATGAAATATGAAATACTGTCATGAAAATTTTTAACGACCGGTCTTTATATCAAATTTCCAGTCAGTTTTAATAAGTAATAAGGTGTCCAAATTTATTATGACTAAGTAACACAAATACCCAGACGTCCGTCCAATACCTGGAATGGCATTCGATTTCGACATTGTAAGTACTACCAAAAATTTGCTGATGTTCCATAATCAAATAGGCACAGATATTAAATATATATAGCCCTTTTGATATTTTGGATTTTTTTTTGCTTCAGGGGTTCACATGCTTCCAAATTGATAATAAAAATTATCAGAGAGTTTAAGCTCTTGATATTACCTGTAAGATAGTTCGCACTTCAACCAAGCTTCTTATGGAAATAACATGGGTAAAATTCCAATTGTTTTTTAGAAATCAAAATTTTGAGAATAACATTGTATTTGCTGATTTTGATCATAACTAAAAAAAAATAGAACAAAAATTTGATAAATTTTATAAAATAAGTGTATACTTAGGAAGAATAAGGAAGAAACTTTGGTTGAGGTGCGGACTATTTTAAAGTTAATATTACGAGCTAAAACTTTCAGATAATTTTTTTTATCATTTTGGAAGCATTTGAGCCCCTAGGGGTAAATTAATAGAAAATTTCCATATTTTATATAAAAAATGTATTGAGCGACATTATCATTTTGTAAGTGTTTTGGAGTATGAGCATGTTATAGTACAATAGAATATTTATTTAGGAGCTATTTTCCGGTAAATCAATTCAAATACCATATTTAAATTTTCCACATCATCGATCTATAAAATTTCTCATTTATTGAATTTCAATTATAGAATTATATTTCAATTCACATGAATTTTATACTTGTTCTTCCACCCGCCAAAACTTATACATTATCTCGAAACAAATCTTCTATCAGTTCGCGCTCGCCCCGATTCAAAACTGCTGGGAACAAGTTTCTTTGCGAAATGTCAAAACTGAGAAGTTACTAAAGCAAATAATGTTAAATAAAAAATGAGTTTACCTTAAAAATAGCCTGTAGAGTACGCCGCTGGAGGTCGGTAAAAACCAAACGGGGCTTCTTCGGTGTAGGAAGGTGTTCCGGCTGGCTCATAGGCTCCTCCTTCCTCTTGATGCCTGTAACACCGGTTGTTCGAAGAAAATTAGATGAGACTTGGACTAACCATCAAACTAATATATAAATTATATACTAATGTAGATACATTTAAACGCCTGATGAAAAAAATGAACAATTCTGATTTTTCTGATAGTTACAACTCATTTTGTAAAAATGTGTACGTGTGATCTGGGCTATTATATGCATGGATATGTGAATATCCATCATACCTGGACGTCCAATCATTGGATTGGCATTCGATTTAAACTTTCTAAGTACTACCAAAAATTTTGTTGATGGTTCATAATGGATAGGCGCAGATATTTGAAAAAAAGATTTATAAGTACTGTCAACTAAGAAATTAAAATATGATGGAAAAAAATCTGACAATAACCCTAAGTCTAAATATGGTTAAAAGTCTCTTCCAGAGACTTAAATAAATTTAAATATCCTAAATTCACAGCCTATAATTGATTTAGAATCATCTTTCTAATAAATGGATATATTTCCACACCATAACAAACTGCAAAATCTGTATAATTCTAATTACTAATTTATTCAAAAAATTAACCTAAAACGGGATTTATACCCATTTACATTCATAAATAATTAATTAAGTGTATCATAGTAAAATTATACTTACTGCCTCGTTGTGGAATCTGCGCAGCTGCAACAAATAAAAGATAAATGAGTTAATATATTGTTCAATATGTGAAACTTTTACATAAATGCACCCCTATAAGAGAATATATAAATTGAAATATTTGAATTTGAATGTATGTATTTATATGTACATAAGTATTTTATTAATTGAGCCTCCTATGGTTTCAGTATTAAATTTGTGTTAGACCACCAATTTTTAAAAACCGCTTAAGTTAATATAAAAATAGTAATGTTATCTATTACCAATTAGCATTAATTATTCAATTTATTTTTTATATATATTTAACATTCATGTGAAAAAGGAAAAAAATACAAAGCGTGCATAATACATTCTCAAGACTGATATTGGATAAGTTAAAAAAAAACATCGGTAACATGTATAAATGCAGATTGAAAATAAAACAATGATTCGATATTCGCGATTCTTATTATCATGCAAAAATCCAAGAAGGAAAACGTCGCTTTTTCAATAAGGCAATGGCCATACATGTGAGTTACCTTTTTTCGTTTATAGTAAATCTGAAATTAAGTGCACATTTTAAATCACTTGTATCATTAACGTGTGGCCATGACCCGTCAAATCTACCAAGAAATTTTTATTTAATGCATGCTCGTCCAATGCAAGCAAGTGAGGGATCGATCCATTCATTTTATACATTTAGAAGTCAAACAAAAATGCATAAATGTAATTAACATCAAAAGTTCAATTAACAGAGATTCTTGAGTTAAAAGATAGAAGATCTCATATGGATTCGTAGGAAAGTCGATTATTTATTTGGCACTTAACAGTAACATTTAACATATAATTTATTCTCAACATATATGTATATGTATATATATATATGTATATATATATACAGGGTGTCCCAGAACTCAACATCAAGCCAAAACGGGGTGATAGTATTGATCATATCAATCATAAAAAAAAAATTTAAAAAAATTCTTACGTAGTTTGAATATTATGAACTATTAAGTGCAACCTAAAGGTTTAGTGAAAATGTGACCATTTTTGGGCTATTGTAGTTAATTTTTCTTAGGCCTCTTGAATCAGGATTGAAAATTAGTAAAATACTTGATAGCTTCAAAAAAATCGAGTAATAAAGTGAAAACCGAAAAATAACACGATAACGACTAACGCATTTTGCTCACATTTAGTTCTAATGTTTTACTCTCGCACATATAACCGATTTTGAGTAAAATGCACTGACATAAATCATGTCATTTTTGGTTTTTAGTTTTTACTCAATTTTTTTTATTACAAAACTATCAAGTAATTTACTATCTTACAATCCTGATTAAACGTTTGATGAAACTTTCCAATATACTTTAGTGCATTTTTATAAAAGTTCAAATTCAACAAAAAGGTTTAATACCTGAAAACTTAGGGCAATAGTGTCATTGTTTTTGATTGTGATACTAGAAATGTTTCTGAAAAATATAAATCCAACGTATAAATGAACAAAATTAATAACCACAATAACAAAAAATTGACACATTTTTACCAAAGCTCTAGGTTGCACCTAAAAGCTCTTAATTTTCAAACAATGTGAGATTTTTTTTTCTCTAAATTTTTTCATGATTTTCACCCTGTATATATATTTATGTTTGCAAACATATATATGTCCATATGTTTTCCAGAAAAGTTCAAAATTAATATAGCAAATATACTATTTTTTCTGATTTATTTCAATTTATTATATTTTTCAAAATATTTCGCAGTTATCCATCGCTCACCATCGTGGCGCATAATTACGTTGCAAAGTTGTGAACCCGTTATGATTGCACGTTTAGTAACGCAATTAATCATCGTCAAAATGGATTATAACATAAGAAATTAGATCAAAACAAGAAACATGCTACATTTAGTAAAAATAATATATTACGAATAACGCGAACTCAGCACGCGGCATCCGTTTCGTAATTATATGTGACTTTTAACCTATTTGACGTACTTTCTGGATTGGATTATTTAATTAAAGATACTTCCAAAAATTCTTGTTTTTATACAGGCACATATATTGATTAGTTTAATTTGTTAAGTTATCATATGCAAGCGTGTCTAAAACACTCTCCAAATGGCATCGTGAGGAATTTAAATTTTCGCTAGCAGGTGGAGCGTTATTAGTCCAGTCATTTGGTGCAAAAAAAGGCTGTTGCCGGTACAGTACTCCGGGATTTCTGAAAATTGGTAATCTTATGGATTTCGAGGTGCTCTTTACGAAAATCAACTTTGCCACCTCAAATTTGAACGGCAAGTTGCCGCTATATTGGAAAAAAGGCGTCAAACAACAGCTTTTTTAAAATACCTCCTTTCTGGCTGATTCTACGATAAAAGTATCTATGTACGAATTAAACTAGATAAAATTTCCTACAATTCTTTAGAAAACAGTTTTTTTGTAAAATTGATAGTTTGAGAGCACGGCCGCCTCAAAATCTTTGCTGCTCTCGCCGTAGTATCAAATCTCTCCATATATGACAGCGCATTCAACTTGACCACATTCTCTCTAATAAATAAATATATTCAATGTTAAGTTCTTCAATAAGATCTAGAAATAAAATAATTCAAATATTTTTCTGTTTTTTTGCTGATTTTTTAACACTTCAAACTACTTACTTATAGCTACTTTGACATTGAAGTGTTAAAAAATCAGTAAAAAACAGCAAAATATTTGAATTATTTTATTTCTAGATCTTATTGAAGAACTTAACATTGAATATATTTGTTTATTAGAGAGAATGTGGTCAAGTTCAAAGTGCTGTCATATATGGAGAGATTTGATACTACGGCGAGAGCAGCAAAGACTTTGAGGCGGCCGTACTCTCAAACTATAAATTTTACGAAAAAACGGTTTTTTAAAGAATTATAGAAAATTTTATCTAGTTTAATTTGTAGAATAATACTTTTATCGTAGAATAAGCCAAAAAGGAGATATTTTAAAAAAGCTGTTTTTTGACGCCGTTTTTCCAATATGGCGGCAACTTGCCGTTCAAATTTGAGGTGGCAAAGTTGATTTTCGTAAAAAGCACCTCGAAATCTATAAAATTACCAATTTTCAGAATTCCCGGAGTACTGTACCGGCAAAACGACCAAATGACTGGACTATATAGGTCAAGTATAAGATGTGAACATGGTAGTCGTTCGTCCGCGGATGCGGCGTGCTGCGTGCGTCCGTCCGGCCGCTACGCTTTCGAATCCGTAGCCGACCGTAGAACGACCGACCGGCATCGCGCCGTAGCTGGTGAGTAGCGTAACACGCACAGAGATATCGCGTTGCGGCACTATCTTAATTCATAACACACCGAAACAGCAACACGGCTACTGGCAAGCAGGAGGACTTGGGACTTGGGCAAAAGGGCCGGGCTCGGGGCTCGGGGCTAAGGTCTAAGGTCTAAGGTCTAAGGTCTAGGGGGTATTCGGGAATCACACAACACGGATTAGAGGATTCGAGTGAGTGTGTCGAGTCCGATTGGAATGGGGTGATAGATCATAACGAGACAGAGATCTGACCAGAAACGTTGAAACTCACAAGTATGACGCTGGGGACGATTTCCTTCTTTTGAAGTTGACTGCTCTCACATTAACATTGCGCATCTGGCAGTCTGCAACGGAAATACAATGGTGGTGTCACACATTAGACATGAGGCTTGTCGTGGGATGGTGAGGGATGGCAACAGGCGGCAATCAAACCGAGGAAGGCCTCGTTTTGGTAAACGGTTCCCTACGCGCTTTGACCGTTTGCATTCGCTCGGGTAACGCTTCGTATGCCGTGATAGATTCAATACACCCCCGCCCTCGCCCAGCAATCGTAATGCTCAGTCGTTTTGTGTAATCTAACAACGGTGTATGCTGAGTAAACAACTAATTTGCGTTATTTATATGTGACGTGGTTTCTATGCTTTTTTTAGCCTACGTAATATAAGGCTCGGATCTGGAGAATTCATTCACAACTTATATATTAGGTTGTCAAATATCTTCCTTCCGCCTTTTTGTATTATAAACCAATAGCAAAATAAATAAAGGGAGATATTTGACAACCTAATAGATTTTAATATACTTTTGTTAACCCCCTATGAGCCGAATCTTTGTTTTACATTCTTAAAATAGGCAAATAAAAAATCAGTAATTATAAGCCTATGCATGCAAATGAAAAACAAAAAAACATGTTTGAACAATTTTTAGGAGTTAATGAATTGTGTGACTTTCAAGTGACAGCGGACCCTAGGTATTCACACTTTTGTCCAGAAAAATATTATTTCAGGTTGATGAAACTAGCAAAGATTATAGATATTGATATTAATTATCTTGGCAACGTTATAGAATTGAAATTTATGTGTCATTATTATTTGGTAATATCGAAAAATTTGGAATGTGACCTGAAATTTAAGTGGGCCCATAGAGGGTTAATTTTTTCAATGAAAAACTATATCAATTTGGATAGAATTATATTATAAAAGGGCATGGCATGTTTTCATACAAACTTCTGTTTAAACAAATTATACTCAATTCTATAAGTTTTTCAAAATAATCCGATATACCAACTGTAATAATTCAAAACTCGTACCCCTTTTCCCACTATTAATTACTTAATTTTCATTTTTTCCCCACTGCAGAGCATAGAGAGTTCATCTTACTTTTTTAAGAACAATTTTCTTAAAAAATAGAAATGTTATGGTAAAGCTATGTCACGGGTCTGTCTTCGTATGAATTACAAACGTTCAAAAAGCTCTTTATTAGCTATGCGATTAGGCGTCTCACACATAAAATTACCTACAAAACGCACAAACGTGTAATAACAAATTTAACATAAATACGTTTTTCTGATATCTCTTTGATAACACATATGTGAAGTTAAGATTTATGTGCAAAACGTCTGATCACACTGCAAATACATAACATTTTGACATTTCATACGAATTGAGACCCGCAACATAGTATTACCATAACATACCTATTTTATCTAAGAATTGGCCCTTATTTTCTTAATTTATGTATAATTTTTATAA